ATTACTAGGGTGAGTAATTGTTATAAGATCTAGACGTCTTTGTTGCTTGTAAAATGGAAATAAGTTGCGAATATGAACATAAGAAATCAAAATCATAGTATTTTATGGTATATATATAGTAAATAATCCTGACTCAAACACAAGCGACTCTGTTGAAGATCGATTGGTTATATTGTATTGATAAAAAATGACAACTTACACGACCAACTTGTTTTAAAATTGAATTTCATCAGTGGCACTTTGGCCAGATGAAAAATACTAGGTTTGTTTGTAAAGCTTTAAGTCCAGACAATTAACCAGTCATTGGGCTTGTGGGCTGATAATGACCAGTTTATAGAATACGTATCACCAACGGACTTCACCATGATCAAAATTCATTTTGCTACTTCTAGTTTGATACTAATTAATATAGAAAGTGTTGTATGGAACAAATTGATCTTTTACACCAATCTAGAGTGTCATAAAAAAGTGTTGCATAGTATGTGATAACCATCTAAAAGCCAGTCAGTTGCATTATTCTGTGTCATTATAATACTATGTGTTTAATTTCTCGCTGATGAAAGAATATGAATTAACGAACGGCACAAAATGGTAAATGGTGTTATAGAAATATGTAGGGCAGTACATTGATCTCATAATGATAAATGTAGTAAAAAACAATTGAAAAAAAGTTTGGTTGTTCTTATTTTTAAAGCTAATCTAACTATTTACTTATAACATAGAAGGCTACAAAATAAGGTTAAGATAAAGTAGTTAATTTTCTATTCTAATCGCAAAATATAATAAATTATCATGCGAAATATTATAAGTAATTTTAAAGAATCACTTGGAAAAGCACATTAATTTCCCCCTTCCATAGTATGGATTAGGTTTCCCATTTGATCTATACGTGCGAAATCTCAATATTTATACTATTGAATAACAAGACAATGCACAATGCTCCATTCAGCATTTTGCACAAATTGCATTTGGTTGACATTTGAATTTACGGCAGTTTCAAATAACTGTTGGATGCAGAAGAAAAACTTGCTTTTCATTATAATTGAAAATAATGGCTCGTTAAGAGAACTGATACCTGATGAACAAGAGTGGGTCGTAACGTTTAGTCAATCTATATGAGAACAGACTAAAAATAAAGCAACTAATGTGATGTTGAGACAGTCAATATTCCTGATATTTTAATTGGAAACAAAATCTCTCCCTAAATTTATAGCTGGTATAAAAGTATTCATAGTGATTTCATTTTAAATGCATATTATACGAGTATGATTTCAATAAATACGGAAGCCTAGTATATATTGGGTTTCGTAAATAAAATCTATTCAAAAAGTTGAATATTTAGGGTTATTCAATTTAATTACAAACAAAAATTGTCTCATTACACCAACTGCTTAAGATAAGATCTAGTTGCTTCATTTCAATGAACAAGTCGCAGTCCAATAACCAAACATTACTTGTTTTCCGTTACGAGTTTACTATATAGGCAGAATTTTCTATTTGACAGATTTCTAGAAAGAACAGGCAATGGATAAAAACGGTATTTATTCCTGTATAGAGTATCCTTTCTAATAACAATCAAATTAGCAGACAAACATTCATCAGGAAAACACAATATTCAAGCTAAATCAAAAATGTGTGAAATACTACCATTAGAATGACTAACAGTCAGTGCCTACAGGTTTTAGTATGTGCGACAGTTTGCTTTTAGTAAAATGTTCAATAAAAGACTTTTAGGAAATGTTTACCCTCAAATATCATGTTTTGAATTGTCACAGAGAGGCAATAGTTCGAGAAAATAGCCAAATCACAGCATTAACACGGTTACTAAAGTGTAAGTATTTGATTCACATGAAAAAATTAAGTGGAAGCATTGCTTAGTCATTATTCGGAAGACATTTAATAGTATTGTATTTTTTTACTGTTTCACCAAAACTACTGTGTGGTTCCATAAGAATTTACTGTTCTACTTACGGAAAACGGCTTAGCTGTACTATATCTCGATGGTATAACTGTTACCAAACAAACCTATTTCATTAACGATGTGTAAGTAGAATCACGGTTCCATTTTTAATCAAAAGTCACCCCTCTAAAATTTGCCTCTTTTTACCTAAGAATATCAAAACTTCTCACATCACCATATTCGAACACATGAATGAGACCAACAGAGAAACAAGATATAATGGTAGCCAAGCAACAAAAATCTCTGAATCAAGTATTATCTCTGAAAAAAGCTACTCATTCAAATAACAATACATATTAAAAACTCTAAAGACAGTACAATAACTGGGTGATAACACTGTAAAGCTGCATCAGATTTACTGTCTAAATTCATATATAGCAAATCTTAAAGAAAAGATATATGACTCAAGCCAGTTCGCGAAAATTCAGCAAAGCATATTACGAGTTGGTTTATAACTAATTAGTTTTATCGCTGAAAAGTAAGTGTACCTACTACTGTCAGGCCCAAAAGTTCTCTCTTGAAATGGGCATAATGTTTAGTTTCTAGTATCCCTAAGTACGTCTGTAGTCTGCTGTAAGTATACGGATAACAGTACGCGAATTGATAGACGTCCTCTTCACAATCAAAAGAAAATGCGAAAGACATAACGTATTTTTTCTTTTGTTCAGGGGATCGGTAGTAGAAAACACATTTTTGTGGAATGCGAGACCTGAGTTAGGTATATAATGGAATAAAATACCTACCAGGAAGGACGGCTAGACGATTTAACAACTGGGGACATACCTTCTCGATATAAAGACTTTGTCTTGCTAAAATTTACCACATTGAAAATTACTCTCTGATTATTAATGATAGACTATGAGTATTACCTGTTCATATTTAGTGTTTTCCACTGTGAAATTAAACCATACTCTGAATCGTGCATTACATGTATCCGGACGTATGAATAAATCATACTCGTATTCACTGACGTACACAACCTTTCCAAGATTTCCTTAGTGATAATTAGGAAAGGCAAATGAAGTACCGCTTTCGAAACATGCGTCGAAGATTAGATGGCCTTTTCGTAATTTTCCAGTGTATCCATTAGGTATAGCTAGTGATTTACTCA